CATTGTCTTTAGAAAGAGAGAGGAGAAGAGAGAGGAAAAGAAAAGTTGTTTAAAGTCCTGTTATCAGGCCAGGTGGCGCCCCCTTCTGGCTTCAAACAGGTTGCATAGACAGACACTCAGCCGCCTCAGCCTCAAGCGACAGTGATGGAGGGGGGTGGAGGTGGAGGTGGGGTGGGGATGGGGTGGGCGGGGAGACGGCCTTAGCTTTTCCTGAATATCAGAAATGGGTCCGTATGTGGAGGCGTTGTTTCCGATCTGAGAACAAGGGGTCCTGCAGGTGGGCTTCATGGCTCCAGAGCAGAAGAAGAAGACAGGAAGAGCCTAATGTCAAGATGAAGAAGAATGAAGAGGAGGGGCCTGGAAGAAGAGCAGAAACAATAACACTTTAGCATCTAATAATAAAGATTTTTTTTAATGAATTAATGTCTTCAAAATGGGAAACAACAAAGATGGTTTAAAATATTAGGTCATGTCATGTTAAAATTAAATCAAACCTTCAATTTTTAGTACATTTATTATGTTGAGTGGGGAAATAATCAAACAAGAAGAAATAATAATGACAATATTTGTAGCAATGAATGTGAATATTTTCTGAAATGCAGAAACAGAATCCAGCTTCTATGTGCCACAAATCTGGAACTTCCAAAAAAAAAAAAACTCCAAAACAGCCGAAACGCCGAGTTCCTTTAAATCAAGACCAAAAACCCACCTGCCTTTCGTTAGTAGGAAGTGAAACACTGATCAACATGCTTGATGCGTTTTTGCTCGGTGACAAAATGTAGCGCTCGTTGCTGGTGTAATTTTCAGGCTTCCTCCACTTACTAATGTGAACTGGTCGTAGACCTGCATCAGGTCCTCCATCCTGTACTGCTCCAGCACCATGAAGTCGTCGAGTGCCGCGCTGCCCTTCCTGGCGCAGTCCTGGCAGTGGACCAGGCACTGCTTCTTGGACAGGTGCTCACGGCGCACGAACAGCAGGTTGAACACCTCCACCTGCAACGTCACATTTCCGAGTTCGACCGTTAAACGGAGGAGAGCGAGGTGAAGTTGTTTCTTTCTAGACGGACGGATGGACAGACGGCGCGGCTTGTCGTCGGGGAGAGAATAACAACAAACAATTAGAGTGAGAATTTAATGGCGTTTGTCTGGGAAAAACTGCTAAAAGCATTTCGCTCTAATTAAATCCATTAGCCGAGATGCTAATTGATGTAAACAAACAGACAAACAAAAAAGGGTTTTTTAATTCAGTTGAACCAAATTAGTCAATGTGATAATTAAGTGCGGAATGATTTACAATGAAATGCTTTTTTTTTTATAAATAGTAATGCAACATTTTAAAGCTGAATCTAAGCTTTATACTCGCCTCGCAGATGATGCAGTAGTGCGCCGGCTCGTCCCTCGTCCTCGGCTTCAGCACCGTCTCCTTCCCGGCCGACGTCAACGCCTCCTTCACCCACTGGCACTGCTTCAACGTCCGCAGCAAGCAGTACCTGCGACCAGAACGCGCCGCGTTAGCGCCACAGCGCAGAAAACCAAAAAAAAAAAAAAAAAAAAAAAAAAAAAAAAAAAAAGCGGGGGGGGGGGGGGGGGGGGGACTCTAAAAGGGGCTCTGAGGCTCACTTGATCATCTCAAACAGCTTGTGGTCGGACACTTTGATGTTCCGCGCCATGTTCCAGGAGAGGTGCACCATGGGAACCATAGACTTGACGCTCTGCAGCTTGTTCCACTCGTAACGCTCCACAGCCAGCTTGTATTGGTGGGCTGAAAGGAGGAGCGTAAATTGGGGGTTAAAAGAAATTATTCAATTCCTTTTTGAATAAGGAAATAATCATTTTATTGCCTAAAATGCAGTACCATAGCATCGCCTGGTTAGTAAATCTGAACCGTGGGAAGGTAAATGTAAACTACTTAAGGAGTTTTGGCTAAAACACATTTGCAAACAACAGAATTTTTATTTTAAATGCAAAACATATATATTTTCATATTTACTGCTTTGAGTATGTCGAGTATTTTTGGGAGTCTGTACACTCTGGATAATGATTAATCGGTTACTAAATTAGTTGACGATTATTTCAGTAGCCGATAAATCACAATTAATTGTTTCAGCTCTACTTGGAAGAAACATTTAATTTTCTTTTGGGATAGAAAGCAAAACAGCATTTTTAAACTTAAGCGAATTAACTTGAATTCTGTGCAAACACTCAAAGAGAGAGACAAAACAGAAACTAAATTAAACAAAAAAAAAAACAACAAATGTGTTCTTTGACAAATATGGGCAAGACGTACCGGTGAGAGGTCCGACGTTCCAGCCGATGTTGTTGCACCAGCCGATGGCCTGCACCCAGTGGATGGTCCCCGTGTTGAGCCACACCAAGTCGCCCGGACGCTGGATGAAGCGGTAAACCGGCACGTCCGACTCGTACAGGTCCTCCAGGTTGGGCCACCACGATCCCATCAGGAAGTTGATGTTGTTCCTGCAGGGAAGCGAAGAAGCTTTGACTATACGTACTCGGGAAACACGCGAAAGCAAAGCGCAAAGACGACGCGTTCGTCTCACTTCTCGCAGAAGTTGCTCATCACGCCCCAGTAGGCCTCCGGCACGGCGAACCACTCGCAGTCGCCAGGCCCGATGTTGATGTTGACGGCGCAGAAGTCGTTGTGCTCTTGGTGGCCCGGGATCCTGCTGCCGGGAACCTTCATGTACAGCTGCACCGTGTTCATGCCCAGGATGGTGTGGCCAACGTGGCTCAGCAGGTTGCCGGCGGACACCACCCGCGCGAAGGCCGGCAGCTTGCTGAGCTCCTGCAGCTGCTGTTTCCACCTGACAGGGGGCGCAGCGGAGCAGAGTTTAGACCTCGTTTGTTTTCAGTATCGCAGCAGAACGTAGTACAGCGCGTTAGGGATATTGTAGACAGAAGAAAAGTACATTTCTCTCAAAAAATTGTGACATTTTGAGATTGATCTGTTAAAACCTGTTTCAATTGATTTTTTTAGAAAAAAAAATTGTCTAGGAAATTTTTCCTTTTCCTGTCTACAATGGTCCTAATACTCCATCGTAGAACAGAAATAAACTCCTAACTCACTTCCTTTCGTCAGAGACGTCAATGTTGGTTCCGAACTTGATGTGTTTTAAGGGCCCTCTTCTTTTTCGTGTCGCACTTAAAAACAAAAACACACACTTAGCATTTTATTGCGCTAAACATTTCTTTCTTGATGCAGTTTTTCTTAAATACCTCTCTGCAGATGATGGTTCAGTGTCCAAAGGTTCCTTTAGTGCCTTCTTTTCATTCTCCTCCTGAAATCAACCCGTTAGAACACAATCTTACAAACCTCAAAGCTGAACTCTTTGACTAAGAAGTTTGATTTCAAAGCAGGACCAACCCTGAGGGACTCCTGGAAGGAGGCGGCCTGATACTGCGCGTATTTGGCGATGGTGGTGTGAGCGCGGGTGCTTTCGCAGCGCCACATCTTCTTGGTGCCGCTCGGGTCCCAGTTCTCGTCGGCGGGCTGCAGCAGCTGAGTCCAGACCTCCACTGGGTGCTCCGGGTTGGCCTCCACCAGCGTCTTGGTGGAGAACAAGCCGAGATCTGGACGCAAACAGAATGGAAGTGAGCAAAAATGTGAAAAAATATAAAGGCAGCAGGAAGACGGTGCTCACCCAGTTTGAGCGCTCCAGCCAGGCCTCTGATGACGGTGACCGGGTTGGAGGGGTTTGTGCAGAACTGGTGCAGCGGCGGGAAAAATGCATCCCTTTTGTTCTCCAGCTGGATTAAAAAAAATAAAAAAATAAAGAATTTCACACTATGAAAATAAAAAAAAAAAAAAAAAAATCCACTTTTTGATCCAGAAGAAGCTGCTTACGTAGATGCTGGGAGTGGGAGGGTTGAGCTTGTCTTTGGGCAGGGCCGGCGACGGTGGGGGCGGCAGCCGGGGTGGGGGGCACTTATCGAGGAGGATGCTGCTGTTGGAAAGGCCGTTCTTCCCCAGGTTTCTGAAAACGCACAGAAAAAAAAAAAAAAAAAAATGGGCGGAAAATCACCTTTTAAAAATCTAATTATTCTTACTCAGAAGAAAGTTTTAACTTTCTTTTTGTATTCCAAGGATCCAGTTAGAGGGAATCTATTGAACTGAGCAATGTTTGCATGGCAACAAGACAACCCAGTGGCCTTCAGCTGTGAGCCCGTTACATAACCGATTCCCTGTGGAGACTGTACTTCCACCGAGAGTCCACCAGGGGGAGACATGCTCAAAACAAACCAGTTGCTCCACTATGGGTTTCATCCAATCAGAGCAGCTTTCTACTCTGGCAACTTTCGGTTTTTAAAACCAAAGACGAACAGATTTTTTTAATGAGGCGACAGTTTCATAACTTGTCATGTTGTGATGAGGTCTCTAGCTTGTTTTTAGTGACAATATCAAGCGCCTTGTACTGATGGAGCAAAGATATAGAGCTCATGAAGATGTGATGAATGTTTAGTCACTTTTAGAAAGGAGTTAGCATCCATTTCAAGCTGCTGCAGATCATCAGTAAGAATCCCATATTGGTAATGCATTCAAGTAAGCATAACATGCAGAACATCTCAAAATGCTTTTGAAAAAAAAATAAAAAAAATTGAACAACATGTTTCATCTGTGCTTTTTGCAAACGATAAGCAAGTTTACACCAATAGTTGAGTTCTCACCTGCAGGCCTTCAGCACGTCTGTGGAGCTGGGATAGATGGAAATAGAAGAAGACGAAGACGAGGATGAGGACGAGTTGTGTCCGTGCGGCGGCGTTGCTATGAGACCTGTGATGGCGGGAGGCTCGGCCTTAAGTGGGCTTTGCGAGTCCTCGGAGATGCCTCCTTTGCTGTTGCCGTTGATGGCAGGCGTGGTGGTGGCGGTGGTGGACGTGGCGGTGGCGGCGGTGGTGGTTGTGGGGGGGCTCTGGCCCCCCGTTTGGGTGTGTTCAGAGGATTTGGGTGAGGGCGTGGCGGTAGACATGGCGGAGATGGGGGAGGAGGCAGCCGAGCTGCCCTGCGGCTGGGGGGCGGACGGCAGAGTGGCTGGGTGGATGTTGTTCATCTTCTTCTGGGGCTCCAGCCCCGTCGCCGCAGATGTTGTGCCCTTTGACGGCGCCTCGCTCTCCTCGGCACCCTTTTCCACCACCAGGAGGGCGGACAGCCTGGGATTGTCTGCGCTAAGGCTTTGCTTCTCGCCACCGTCCGCCACCTTGTCTCCCTCTTCGGAGCGAACGTGATTGGCCAGTCCGTCCGCCTGCGCCTTCTCGCTCTCGGCAGGCGGGAGCGACGTTTGTGCCGCGCCGTCCGAGCCCCCGTTGCCATGGGACGCGGCGCCAGCGGCATCGCCGTCTTTGGTAACGGACGCGGCACCGCCTGAGGTAGAGGAGTGAGGGAGCGACGGCGGGGAGGGGAGGTGGTTGTGAGTCGGCTGCCGTGGCGACGGGGCGTTACTGGAATGTCCAACCTGACTGTTGGGGTGACTAGTGGAGTTGGGGGTTTGGGGGTGAGAGGGGTTCCCCTCGCTGCTTGAGCCTGTCGCATGTTTAACACACTCCTTCTGAAGCCCCTGAAAGAGAAACAAAAAGCGTTACATTTTCACGTCAAGCGGTTCATTTTGTTTTTAAAGAGCTTTCATGGGACAGGAAGTCCAACCTGAGAGGAGTTTAGGTGCGGCGCCGCGTCCTGTGGCGTCGTGCTTGTGCAGGTGTGAGGTAGCGGTGCTGCGGCGGCTGGCGGGTAAGGCACATCTCCGTTGGGTCCCGGCTGATTATTAGCGCTGCCGTTGCGACCGTCGCCCGTGGCGTCCAAGCGCCCGACTGGCCCGTTGGCCATCGGCTGCGGCTGAGGCGGGCAGAGGTGGCGGGGCGGGCCCAGGTGGGGCCGCGTGGGGTGGAGGCCGGGGTTAGGAGAAGGGAGGGAGTTAGCGGTGGGGCCGTTAGGGAGGGAGGGACGAATCGGAGCTCCCGATGCGTTCTGCCTCATCTGTGAAAAGAAAAACTTTAGGTATTGAGTGAAACTGGAAACAGAGATGCGGGGATGACTTTACCCCCCACCCCCAAATATGTGGTTTGACCGTTAACCTGGTGCTGCTGCATTACTGCGAGCTGAGCCTCCAGCTGCTCCAACGCCTGTAGCTCATGGGGCTTCAGGTTGCCCCGGTTACCGCGCAGCTGTTCCAGCATCTACAAAACAGGCAGCGGAAAGCCTGAGCTTAAACGATCCATTCCTCAGAAGATCCATCGGATTTCACACCAACTTTACATCAGAACAAAAGTGGAAATGGTCTTCCCCACATTCACTGAATGCATCAAAACTAGAAACTTCAGTCAAAATCAGAACCCCCAAAAAATCCGACATTTTCTATTTCAGTTTTGAAAACATTCTAGATATCTGAACACAAAACATTTACTTTAGAAGTACTTATAATATCTGCACATTCTCCACATCAGAAAATTTTGACTTCTGATTCAGCAGTTTGCAATATATTTCTGTCAATTTCAATCTAAACAAACACTAAATATTTTGGGTTCATGCAGTCATGCAACTCCAAGAAAATCTCAGAATTTGTTCCTAATTATATACAAGTCTTTTTTTCCTTCATATGGTTTTGAGAATCTGAGTCATTCATGGTCGCAGAAAATGCTCACTAACCTGTAATTTCTGTGGGGAGAGGTACCAGCTCGGTGATGGCTGTTGTGGTGGATTACTGGGCCATGAGTCATTCTGAGGCGGGGAAAAAAAATTACAATGAGTCCAACCAAACAAATGCTTCCAGTGGATGGAGAACACAAAGCTGTCGTATGTTTACCTTGGCAGGACTGCCGGCTCTTCTCCTCTTGGCCGGGCACGACTGGTCCTCCGCTTGGCCCAGCGCGCCTGCATGAGGGGGTAGAGACTGACCCGAGCCCCCTCCCTCTGCGCTGTGATTGGGCTTACAGGCCTGGAGAGAAGGGGATGGAAGGGGGCACAGGCAAAAGTGAAGCAAAACAAATGTGAGGAGGCAAAGGAGGGAGACGAAGAAAGAAAAAAACAAAAGTCGAAGCAAAGTAGAAAAATAAGATGGAGGGAGAGTGGAAACCCAATTATGGGTGGTTGTTATCGAGATGCAAAGCGGCAATAAGAGGGTTTGGGGGGGCAAACAAGGAAAAGAAGAGAGAAGGGAGAAACAATGCCGTGATTTTGAGTTTGAGCTTAAAGCAAAAAAAAAAAAAAAAAAAAAGAAGAAATAAATAAATCCTGGCTGGAAATTCAGCACTACTACTTTTTTCCACACCATTAGGTCACTGGAGCTAAAGTTTCAATTACAGCAAGGAACAAGCTGCTGTGACTGAGCAGAAAGATGCATCTCATAAATTAGACAGTTAATTGAGAGAGTCAAATGTGGCTGCTGACAGGTCATCGTTTGTATTTTTTCTACAAATATCTGCAATTTTTTTTAATATCCTCATTCTTTTTAAAAATTCGGGTCCAAATAAATTACAGTAAGGATCAGGCTTAAGCCACATCAGATCCACTGAAATCTCAGTTAAATAAATATTTTAAGGTCATTCCCACAGTCACAGCTACTGAAAAAGCAGAGCTACAGTGCCTTGCAAAAGTATCCACCCCCCTTGAACTTTTTTCACCGTCTGACCACATTACAACCACAATGTGTTTCACTGGTACCGTCATGCAAGACAAACGCAAAGTAGCAGATCAATATAAAGTAGAAGGAAAATACTGTTTTTTTTTTAAACTTCTCGGTACTACTTCTGTTCTTGAAAAGGCAGCTTCAAGGTCTTGTGGGAACAGTAAATAACATCCCATAAGAAAAACAAAATAACCGTTGTTTTGTAAAAATGTTTTCTAGCCACAAGCTAAATAGCAAACCAAGTTCTTTGTTGTTGCCATTTACTGAAAAACAGTTAGCCACTTGGAAATTTATAGCCCAGAAGCTAAAAGACAACATCCATATCCTTTTCATTAAGGTCACATTTAAAAAAAAAGAAAGAGCAAAGTTGTCATTTTAGCAGCTAACAGTTGGTAGAAGTAGGCTTGCCTGCTAGCTAAGATGGACTAACTAGCTAGCTAGCTAACTTTAGCTTTCAGTGTCCCTCTATGAGGAGCAGCACCGATAGAAGCAATAAAATTCTCAATAACCACTTTTTATAACAATTGCTATAAAAAAATTCAGCAGGTTCTCATATCTACATAATTATACATATACACATTAATATAAAAAAAGTTATGACTAAATGCTCAGTTGTATTCTCCAGAAATACATTTCACAAACATTATTTTAGCAGCAGCAGCAGCAGCAGCAGCAATGTAATAATTTTTTTCCTTTTTTTTTCTGAGCATTTCAATCATTTTCAATTAAAATATTTCTGGTAATAGTTAAAGCATATTTTTACTCGAAGTGATCAAACCATGCCTACTTCGAACTCATAAATAATGTTCTCCTTGTCCATCTTGACAGTTTTTTTTTTTTTGGGGGGGGGGGTTCCCGTAGCATTTTCCTTCCACTTTGTAACTCTGCACCACGTTGTCTGATTCTATCTCAAATAAGTGGCTCTAATGGAACAAATATGAAAAAGCTCAAAGAGTGGAACAACTTCATTCGGGCCTCATACAACCTAAAGAAAACAACAATGGTCACACACAAACAGAACTATTGATATCTACTGATTGTGTACCGAACACTGAAGTGACAATGAAACGGTAAGGGGGAGGGCGTTGCTAGAACTCTACGAGCGGCTGCAGTTGCTTCTAAGGTCAGCTACTTGAAAGAGGAAGAGGAGGATGACGGACAGAGTCAACGGGAAGGCCTCCACAGCAGCACGGCCTCACCAATCACGTCGGAGCATGCTCAAAAGCCAAACATTTCAAATCATTTTTAAAAAAGGAGGAGAAAGCAAAAAGGAAAGAATTAAAAGGCTTTTTGTTAGGTTTTCATTCTGCTGGAATGGAGCGTGATGGGTGAAGGCGAGTGACTGCTGCAGAAAAGAGATGGAGGAGAGGGAGGAGGAGGGGATGCAGGGTTGGGTAACACTTGGCTGGAAACCTCGTCGTTCCAAACTGAAATCATTGTGCTGAATGTTTCACTTCTGTTGACGTGTGCGCTCTAATGAGAAATTTAGTGACGTAGGCATCGTTGAGCTCAAGCGTTACCCATCCGAATGCACGGCGACGCCTGTGCTGACCTGCTTGGTGTGTTCTGTGTCTGGGCAGATGGAGGAAGGGTGGGTGGGAGGCAGAGGGGAGGGCAAGGGAGGGTTGGGGGGGAGGAGGCGCGAGTTGCTCTATCTGGTCTCTCACCTGCTGCGGTGCACTGCTCAGGCCTCCCTGCCTGGAGGTTAGCTCAGCTGGGATTGGTAGGCTCCATGCCTCCTCAATAAGAGGGAGCATTTTACTTTTACCCTGTAGGCTACTGAGCTGGGGGTTACTCAACTGAGCCTAGGGGAATGGAAAACGACGTGAAAAACAAAAAAAATAAAATAAAAAAATGATTTTTTTTAAAAAAATTAAATAAATAAAAAAAGGACAAAGTTGTGATGACCTCAAAAAACAAGGAATGATCAGAGCAATGGCAAATATAGGTAGAGGTCTTTTTAACGATTTCTGGCTGCATGGATCATCATCATGAATTAACCACACAAGAAAGTGCTTATATGACACAGAGCAACAGTCACAGATCAATTAAAACAAGCCGAGCCGCTTGTCTTAATGCGACATGATATTACGCTGGCAAACGTGGTGGAAATGTGACGTTCCTTCATGCACATTCAAAGGAAAATGACACTCTTTGGACAAAAATAAGGATGAATATATGGGATATAGGGACTGTCAAAACCCCCGACTGATTGTAAATGAGGGAAACTTTCTGTCTGCTACCCCAGCTGTCAGGGTCTTTATCAGAGCTGTGCTAGAATCGGGTCTTTTTCTTTTGAATCTGCCTTCAAATCCAAAATGAAACCCATGTAAATGCATCTCTGCCCATTTGTTTCAATAAATTAAACATAAAAGACAATCTGCGTTTCCATTGGGTTAATTGGTCAATAAATGAGGAAAAAAAAATCGTATGCAGGAAGCATGGGAACCTCTGGAGGAAAAATGATGATCGTTTTTAATAGGTCAGAATAAATCAGTCCGTTATAAAACAGTACTTCCGCCAGATTTCTACAACAATTTGAATTTAAGAAGAGAAAACATCTGAGTAAATGCCACAGCTAGGACTACAACTGTTTGTGAGCAGGGAACTTTTAAATCCCACTATAGGGTGCTGGTTTGTTAGATCTCCACACCGCTCCTCTTTGTTTTACACAATTATGGAAATCATCACATAATTCGTCACCTCAGGTTTTGATTAAAATGTATTAAATGCTTTCCTTTTGTTCTGTCAAAAAAAAAAATCCATTGCCTAACTTTTAAAAAATTAACAAAGGTGTCAATTTTATGGTTTTATTGGGAATAGAAATGTGTTTTTAAACATCATCCAACCCTAGAACAACTATTTCAGAGTTTTGAAATAAAATCGGTAGGTAGGAACACTTTACAGTGGTTTTTTTGGGGAAGCATTTGAAGGCAGCAAAGGACAGAAGAGTTCTTACTTGAATTTAGTTTGTAGGAATGTCATGCACAAAGAGAATCTCTGAATCCCACAGCATCTTAAACCCAATTCCCTGAGAATATCATATAGAATACTTAAGTTTTTTCCCCTACAAGGAAATTTTTAAAAAAGGAGAAGAAATGGTAGTACAGAAGACACTGAAAGATCCCAAAGCTTTCACTCCCGGCCAAAATGAGGTTTGTTTCTTTCAGTAGCATGCATTGGCCTGAATCCTACTGCACTCAGAGCATCTCAGAGAAGTAATCAGCAGCCGGCGGATTGCATTGTTCCACAAAAATCCAGATTAAGCCGTCTTCCAAAGATATTGGGTGGGAGGGAAGGATCTCCCTGCTTTTAATTGCTCTTTTCACCCACCTGGAGACATTTGATGCGGTGGGTTAGCGCGGCGGTGTTGGTGCAGCCTTTGCTGCGCGTGGCGTTGATGTAGCACTTGATGGCGTCGTGCGGCTGGTTGCAGGACTCGTACAGAGTCCCAAGGTCCATCCAGGCGGCAGCGTGGCTGTGGTCCAGTTGCACGGCGCAAATGTAGGCCTGCAGAGCGTCCATTGGCTGGTTCTGCTGCTGGTACAACACCCTGAGAGCGTCGCAAAGAGAGGAGAAAAAGAAAGTTCACATTTAAGAATAAAAACAGAAAAACTACCCCGATACACAGAAACAGACATTTACCCTATAGAGCACCAAGTATCTGCGCTGGCCTCCGATTTATCTATGGATTGCCGATAAGAGACGAAGGCATCCTGGACTTTGCCAATGCTAGCGTAGCACCTGCAGGTGCAAGAGAACAAAGAGTCATTAGGGAGCTCGACAACAGCTGAAATATAATTTAAGAAACGTCACTACGATTTCATCAAACGGTAAAAATCCTGTTTGACGTGGCGTACCTGCCAAGGAAGTACCAAGACTGTCCGGAGTTGGGGTCAGCTTCCACCGATTTCTGCAGACACTGGATGGCATAGCTGTCCCTGCTGGCTTTGTCCCCCAGCTGTTCCACTGTGTGATGCATCCAGCCTGAGAAGAAGCAAAAAAAAAAAAAAAAGAAAAAAGAAAAAAAGACTCCGTCAGAGATGTGTTCAATTGAAAACAATTTGTTCCACAACTAAATGGCAAAGAAACTTACCCAACTGCTGCAGGGTGGTGGCCTTCACCTGAGCAGGGAGGTCCTCCGTCTGCAGGAGGGTCTCGTATGCCTCCTTGGAAGCCCCGAATCTCTTCTGCAATAGTCAGTTAAGAATAAGCAGATTAGAAACTTTTCATTTGTCTTATTCGACCTTTTAGGAGTAAGAACATATTAGAAAAATGTGTAAAATGTGGTTAAAGAACCATTCTTCATGTATAAATGTATATAATGGTCATATTAGACCATGACTGAATACATAGAGGGAAGCTACAAAGCTTATTGCAAAAAGAGTTGAGTGGAAGGAAAAAGTACACCAGCAACAGGGATAACTGCATTCGTCAGAAGAAGCATTTTTAATGCATTTGTAAAGGTCGTAAATATCCTGGTTGGACAAAAGAAGAGTTTAAAAAAAAAAAAAAAAAGGTTGTCCAAAGAGAAAGTTGAGAGGGAGAAAAAAGTGCACCAGCAACATCAGAGAGGACTGTCAAGTCAAATCCATTCATAAGGATTGAACTCAGACTGGAGGCAGCGCACTGAGAGCCACTGATTGGCCACGAATGTCCCTAAATGCCCCGTTCTTAAAGCGACAGCCTGTGGTGCTTTGTTCATATTTAGTCACATTTGCAGGTAAACATTCATGAACCCGAGGTGTGTGTTACGCTCACACATGCGGCTGAATCTGACCACATTAGCTGCAGCGTGCTGCTGCTGCTGCTCCCGGCTCAGTGCTACTGTACCTCTCCACTGCAACCCACATAAAGAGACAGAGACGCCACCAGCATACCGAAGAAGGCAAGACAGACTTTGCTGTTTCCGTGGCAACCCTCGATGATCAGCTAATCTTGTACTCCCCTCCCGCGCGCGAAAACCCTCCTGCCCACCCAATCTCCCCATCCATCAGCGCCTCATTTATGATGCAAGAAAAACAGGGCTTTCCCCCACATTGAGATGCTCACATATACATTTCTATCACTAATAGAAAGGATGCTTTTCACACAAATCAAAAAAGTAATAATAAAATAAATAAAACACACACATACACACACATTCCTGTACCCTTGAGAGCAAGGACAACGGATGCACAAGTTCAGCAAACTGACAAAAATAAAACCAAAAACTTACCTGGATCTCATACAGATGAGCAATGTGGAACTGGACTGTAAAAGGACAGAAGAAGAAGAGGAAACGGGTTAGGCAGAAGTTAATTGAACATTTTTCCCCCCTATCAGCTAGCGATCCTCATTTATCTTCTAAAGTCTTTGGAAAGTAGTTCAGCGACGTTGGGAGAACCTGCGACGGGAGCGGATAGGTAGCCGTGATCCTGGCGGCACCTCTCTTTGTCTGGAGCGCTGCAGTGTCTGATCTAAGCTGCCTGAGTGACTCTCAGCAGATGGAGGGGAGAGAGGGAGTTGTGGAGAGAAAGTGGGGGAAGGTGGAGGGGGGATGCGGGGGAGAGATCGGGGCTGCCCTTGATATTTTCTGTCTGCGTGTGCATGCGTGTGTGAGAGAGAAGTGGATGAGGAGGGGAGGACACACCGAGGCAAACGGCAACGGGGGTAAAGAAAAAAAAAATCTAGGAGAAAAGGGATGCTGCCGTCGTCAAGGTAACAGGTGCTGAGCTTGAGCTGCATTTTAAGTCATGGTTTGACTTAAATATGACAACACTTTATAGAGAATATATGTAAATAAAAATCTTGGTGGCTTACTTTCAGCTTTGGACAAAGTGCAGGGGTTGGAGTCAATCAAAGCCAGCTGAAAATGCTGAAAAAACAAAAGAAACAACAATGAGAAATGAGTCAAATTTTAATTAAACACACGCAGACCGTTTGGGTTTTCTGCGTACCTTTAGGCTCGACTCGTAGTCTGTGTTGACTTTGAACATGAGGCCCAGACGGAGGTGGATCTCCTTGGCCCGGGAGAATCCCGGATCGATGTACAGCACCTCCTGGAATGCTTTGATCGCCCTGCGGGAGGAACCAAGACGACATGAGGAGGGAGAGAGAGCGATGGAGCTGGGAGCAAAACGCTGCAGCGGATCCCGAAGGAGCACCGTCTAGACCTGAATGCTAAGCGCGTTTCCTCGACGACAGCCTCTGATGCGGGCTAATTCAGCTTTCTCCCAAAAACATTTAGTAATTTAAACTACTCCCAGTCAAGTTTCTTGAAGTGTTCAGTTTGAATTATTGTGGCGCTAAAGTATTTACGAGAGAAAAAATAAACAATAAAAAAACAGCATTCCTCTACGCATCACCTGCGTATGCAAGACACATGAGAAATTTTTGTATTTGTTTAAAGAGGAATTTAAAGAGGAATTTAATGCCAAATACTATATTTATTAATAGTAAATTTTGCTGCATTTATCCGACCAGGAAGGCTGCTGAATTTGCAGAAATGCGACAAACGAATGGGACTCACCACTGAAAGGCGTTATAGTGGAAGTAGACCATTCCCAGGCCATACAGGAACGCAGCATTCTGGGTAAGAGGGAGAGATGATTTGAAATTAAAAACACAAAACTTTACCTCTTCATTTCTAATCAAACTAAAAAATTTAAAGAAAAAGAAACAAAGTTAAAAATGGTGTGCAAAACTACAGATGACAAGGCTTTGTCACTTGCAGCAAAACACCAAAACTGTTCGACTTTGAGGTTACCTGCTAACATTTATTACTTATTATAGCAAACAAAAAAAAAAAAGAGGTTAATTCATTACTAGCATTTAGCCAAACCGCAGAAGTTCACAGCCAGGTGCTCAGAATGACTGACATGAAACCTGAAACCGCATCTCAGGCTGACATCTAACCTAAATGAGACCAGAAAGGCTTCCTGTGAAGGAGCGAGCGCAGGCGTGGGCGGTGAGGCGGCGTGCATGCGTGTGTGTGAAAATAAGTGTATAAAAAAATAAAAAAAACAATAAAGCCTTACCTTCCAGTAGTCTGATTGTAAACTGTAGTACCTCTGGTATGCTGATAATGCTGGAACGAACACAGAAATGTGTGAGAAATTTGAAAAAAATATTAATGAAAAAAAAAAAAATCTATCAACTTTCAATTAAAATGCTTATAAAGACTCAAAAATTGCTAGATTCTTCCCCAATGACTTTTTGTGGCCAACTGATATAGCAAAACATTTGGGTTAAAACCCCATTTTTGTTTGCTTTATGCTCATTTGTTATTAGCAGAAAGTCATAATCATCAAATTTTCTCAAAATAGAAGTTTAAGATGTATGTAATCCATTCATACAACACAAAAGTTTCACTATTTGATCTGAATTAGTGAGAATAAAGGGATATTTCTAGGCACTGGAAGGAAGGCTCACCTTTTGGATAATCCTCCAAGAGGAGGTTGAAGTGGCCGAGCTGGCAGAAGACCTCAGGCTCCACTTTCCCCTCGGCTTTCAGGATGAGCGAATCGTAGCAGCGGACAGCCTGGGAACAGCAGGAAAAATCTCACGTTAAACCTTCCTGTTGTAGTTTTAGCTATTAGCCGTTTTCCCAATGGCATAATGCTTATAAAACACATACTTTTCAGTAAAAAAAACAATGAGTTATCAGTGTTTTCTGATTACATAAAAAGTCAGCAACTCCATTAGCAACAGAATTAACTGATGCACAGTGGGGAAAATGTCAAAAAGTTAAAACTAACATTTGAATTTAAAATTAACAGGTTGAAATTATGAGTGAAGTTGATGTTTGGTTTATATGTGGGAGTAGAAAACGTTGCTAACATTAGGGAAGTTGTGTAACAGAGAGGAAGTAAACGGAACTACACTTGATAAATAAAACAGACTAAAAACTCTGTTCTGTTGCAAATTTTTTTTTAAACTGCAAGATTTTGTTGTTGTTGTTTGGTTTAATGTAGAATACGTTTATATTTTTCAGGACTGACCATTTCAGAAACTCTATTTTCTTGCTTTTATTTAATAAATACTGTAGTGTTCTTTTAACAGTGGAGCACAATATGGAAGCTGCTCAACATACTTGATCCAAAAATCATTATTGGAACATCCACAATAATGTTGTGCCTCTCTAAAATTAGCCTACCCCCTGAAAACAGAATTGTTGTTTATACCTGCGACTTTCAGACTTAACTGATAAAATCTCCTCATGTTAGGGTACATAAAAATCTGTTTGTCGTTGGAAAAAAAACAAACTCATAATTATAGCTAAATCTGCATTACAACGGAAATCATGTGAAATTGACTTCAAGCTGGGATTATATCTGAAGGACATTAAATAAACTAGTTTACTCAAATAAATCACATAAAAGCGTAGTTTTTAAAACCCAGACAATTTCTCTGTGATTCACATCGAAGCCTGATGTCTTATTTTCAATAAAATCTGAAGAAAAATAAAGTAAAGGAGAGAGAAGGTCAAACTTTAAAAAAAATAAATAAATAAAAATAAAAAAAAAATTAGTTTCTAAGGAAGGTGATAATATGTGATGCTTTGCAGGGAGAGTCGAGGTAAGCCTGAATGGAAACAACCTTGGGCCAACTCACACAGATGGATGATTGCTTGACTTTGCAAAATAAAAAAGCTGCAACTTCTGACAGAAGCTTATGTAACCAAACACATTCAGTTTGAATGGAGGCATCAGACGTGGAAAGAACATAAAGGAAATAATAATAAAATAAAGGTATGTGGGATAAAAGAAGCGTGAATCTGAAATATGATTATTGCCGGCAGTAGACATAAACCGGTCTGACTTTTCACATCTGATACCGAGTCCTGGTTTCATCGGGATTCCAGAAATACGTTTTCAACTATTGTTATGAATATTATGCGAGAATAAATACAAGACGGACATTATTTTATAAGTTTATGTTTCCTCCCACTTTGACTTGGAGATTAGAGCTGCAAAATATTAGTTAACAATGCAACACTCTTGTGGAATATCACAAAGACAATATTGATTAAGCAACATTTCCTTGACTTTATCACAGATTTTCCTTCCACCCAACATTCCACTGATATCCAGCACTCTGAATTGCCAACTTTGTTCATAGGAATTATGAAGATGGGAAATTGTAACATATGAAAACCCAGACATTTTCCTCCAAAAAGCAAAAACAAAACTCAGAAACAAAAACAAATTGTCTCACAAATTACAGTTTAGCTATTAGTTGCTGTGAGTTAGCGTCAGTGCCAGCTAGTCAGTAGTAATAGTGACCTAGTTCTGTCTGCAGCATTGAATCCAGTTTTATCTGCACACAGTGCAGAGGCCCCACCACTGCAAAGTGCCAGACAGGGCTGTCAAAAACTGAAACGGAGTGGGAGTGGAGCCATAAAAAAATTTTTAAAAAAAGTATAACAATAAGGTCAAGTGGCGAGTGTTTATGTCTACACACTGGGTTTGGTTTAACACAAATGGACAACATGGTTTAATTGATTTCATAAAAAATGAATTAAAATAAAATAAAAAAAACAGAAATTTGACAACTGTTCCCACAACCCATTAGAAACGTTTACAAGAAATAAGTTCTTTTACATTTTTCCCCTCAATGGAATTTGAAAGAAAAAAAAAAGTGCAGGTTTTTTTTTGACAGCATTTTTTAATCTAACAATCTAATCTTTCTAGCAGTGAAAACTGATCCTACAGTAACGAAAATGACATCAAAAGAGAAATGGGGACGTACCCGTACGTTCATTTAACAATTTTAAACCTAAAATTTTCTGTAAAGCCCTTCCGATTCAGCATCCAAATGAATACAGCGTTGTTTTAAAAGCGCACACCCCTTACTGAGGCGCTGAAATCAACATCCGCCGTGCAACTTTAAAAAGCAAACAACAACATACGCAAACAAAAGAGCTTTCAGGACCGTTTCTCGGTTAGCTACTGTGACAATGGGGCATTAAAGATGGACTGAACCAAAGCTGTACATCAGTGTTTTTAAACAGAAAAATGGTTTAAAAATCACTCTGTATGAAACATAATTACTTATCTGAAATGGAGGCAAGCTGAATGTAAACAACATATGGAGAAAAGTAGGCTAAAGTGCAAACCAAGCTTCCTGTAGTATTCAAACAGCCCCAAAAACCATCGCAGTGATTATAGTAGCAGATGTGTGACCACACTGGTACTATGTAGACACAGGTGTGCTACAATGGTGCATTGAAGTTCAACTTGCATTCAAAAATGACACCGACTACTTAGGCAGTTTAAATTTTGTACAACGGTTTTAATAAGGAATAAGAAAAAATCTAACTAAATCTCTAATCAAATCTATATGGCTCACTTTCTGGAATGCTCCAAAATGTAAATAAAAACCACATGCCTGAAAATATTAACATTCACTGTTTGCGGTCGAGTAGAGCAAATATATACTTGAAAATGTGTCAAAGATACACCAAAATGCGATTTTTAAAACTGGTTTTTGAACATTGTTACGTTCAAAGAAAGAAAGAAACACAAGGAATGAGATAGGGAAGGAAAGACACAAAGAGAGATGGGAGACAAGGAAAGACATAAAAAAGAAGAACAGAATCAAAGAGGAAAGAGCAATATTTAGACAGTGAGGTAGGTCAAGTCTGGGAATACAAATACTTCTCCAGGACCAGAAAATACTCAAATTCTCTCCACATTTCAACCATACTCTGAATTTTGGTATTAGGTTATTTTAATGCGTTTTTCAATCAAATTGGAGTAATTATAACAAGAAGCGTTGTTATAATTACTCCCAAAGATCCATTTTGGTTGTTGTGGGCTTACTCCACATTAGCTGCCTCTTTTCTCTCGCGAGACTTGCCACAGTGGTACGGCACACTTGTCCCTTTTGCTGCTTCTGTGCAGATAGAGGTAAAGGAGCGGTTCCACTTCCTAGTAGGTATCCCACACCACCTAGCGAGCGGATTCATTGAAGGCCTCCCAAAATTATCACTTGTCAACAGCTCCACCTTTTTTGGACAAACTTATCATACAGTCACAAAGACTGAGGAGTACGTAATCGTCAGTGCGTTGTTGTATTGTGTTACGTACAGGTAGACTGGTGAAAGCACATGCATAAATTGTAAACAAAGGACCCTGACACCATCTTGGTCGACGAGTGGGACACGCATTCACAGTGCGCCAAGACCGGGGAGGAAACCCAACATACCGCTAGGCAGCACGTATACGGTTCGGAGTGAAGCGTTTTGAAATTTGTTGTAAAGCTATCGGTGTCGTTCCGCCATCTTGGACAGGCAACCAGCCATTAACGTCACTTGAAACGGTCGTCAGATGGTTCCTACTTATTTCACGCAAGCAGTCATCCAAACTCAGTTTATTAAAAAAAAAAAAAAAAAATGTATTCATCCCATCAACTGCAAGCTAAACAAAAATCCCGAAGGAAGTGCTCCGATACGAGCTAACCTCAACTAAGCAACGTCAATTGCTGTGGTTATATTATTCCCCTCATAGTTTATTTGGGTACTGTTAGAGAGGGGCATCTACGGCATGCAGCTAAAAAAAACTGACATTTACTTCTCATTCAAGTTAAAGGCTTGCAGGACTGAAAACCATAACTACGCTGTGCACAAGTGCACACAGATAAGCTGCTTGGAAGGGCGGTTACCTCAAACTAACATATGCTAACGCTAACTAGCAGGGTAAATCGGAAGAACGAATGCTCTTGCTGGTAACACAAGCCAGCCAGTAATCACAACATGTATCCGCAGGTGCAGGGCTGCTCATCGGATGAGAGTAGCTGAGCTAACTGGCTAAAAGAGGGGCTGCGGCTAACTGGCCTTGGTTTCTCTACAGAGTGGGCCACTTGTATTCGGCCTAGCCCGCTAGATTAGGAGTGAATTTTAAAGCCCTGCACTGTGGTTTGTATTCTTAAACAAGTTCTGTGAATATGAACGCAGCTTGGTAATGCAATGCATCCACTTAGACGAGCTACCTTCATCAACAGGGCCTTCGTTCTGGCGCCATCTTCATGAAGCTTCTGAAATCCAAACAGTGAGCTGCAAAGCAAGAAGACAACATAGGCGGCTCAGTATCACTTGCAGGGCGGTTCAGGGACATTTAAAACACGCAATGGCGAAAAGCGATTAATTTTGCGTGTCTGAGCATTAATGCGAGTGCGCGGAGTTGATATTCCCGACCTGTCGATCCCGGCCAGAGTCTCCCTCTCCTGGGCTGTCAGTGTCGGAAAGTCCTCCTCTGTTTCACTCGCTTTTCCCGCCGCCATTTTCTTTCCCTCATCACCAGCAGAAGAAGCCGAGCCGAGACTCCGAGCAGCAGCGCAGGCGGCGGCGGCGACGGAGACGCCGCACGACTGCATGGGACGAACGCAGTGCTCCGCCGAGTCAAAGGAAGGAAGCCGAAGACAACAAAATGATCAAAAACTTTTCCCCAGGATGATAAGATGCTGTTCGGTGTAGTAAATCCTGTCGGGGGGGCACAAAAGCGCTCTCCGGGTATCTCCTCACATTTTTCATCACAAAGTAATATTATCCCGTTGTTGCGATGCACGTAACTGAGTGCAGTATCCAAGATGTGGGTATTTCACGATAAAATGTGTTTCGGCCGCGAAGATAAAGTTGTTATAATTGTGAAACCCAAGCGAACCCACGCGCCGTTCTAGCCACGCCCTCTCTTCCCATTTCATCCAATAGTAGCGCCCATTTTTTACCATATGACTTCTCTGCTATACCATTCTTTTATAGTTAATGTAAATTTGTCCCTGAAAATCGCTAATTATTAATACCACTACGATAGATAGATAGATAGATACTAACCCTCACAATTTGTCCCTTAAGTTTTAGCATCATCTCAACAAATAAACTACTTTATTATTACCACTATTTATATATATATATATATATATATATATATATATATATATATATATATATATATATATATATATATATATATATATGTTATATTACACATTATTATTACTATGACGTTAATGATACATTTCTTCAGTCATTGGTTTTCATCAGTTTGAAAATGTGATTCTGCATTTTCATCTGATAGAATCATATTTTTAACGGATATAGAGACGATTACTTAATTTTTTTTGTCCTTTGCAGATATCTGGGATGTGTGTTATGTAATTCATACCTTCATTGGTTGCAGTTCCCGATTACTTTATTTAAAAGGACAAGCTCAAATAAATTTTGCCCTTTAATATGGTGTCAAACTCCAGTCCTCAAGGGCTGCTGTCCTGCAGTTTTTAGATGTGCCACAGGTACAAAACACAGGAATGAAATTGCTTAATTACCTCCTTCTTGTGCAGATAAGTTCTCCAGATCCTTGCTAATGACCTAATTATTCTATTCAGGTATGGTGTAGCAGAGGCACATCTAAAAGTTGCAGGGCAGTGGCCCTCCAGGACTGGAGTTCGACACCTGTGCTTCAATATGTATTTTCATTCATGCCGTTTATTTATTTGCTAGTGACTTCTTTTTATTAGCAGGCACGGGTTAATGCTCTTTAAACCAACCACTACAGAAGGGTTATAGTCTTTTTCTCTTGAGTTTATGTCTTCTTGTGTTTAAAAAAAATAAATAAATAATAAGTATTTATTTATTATTATCATTTAGTTCATAAAGTTCAGTATAGTCAAAGAAGGAATGCAATTTGCAAATAATTTCCTAAACCACTGAATGTAAATAAATAAAATGACAGCTTTTTTTTTTACCGCGTGACGTAGGAAGTCGTCATGATATGGGCGTGGCTTAGAATTGTCAACATCCCGGTGACATAACTAGTATCTCCAAAATGGCGACGGGGGACCACAGAGAAGGTTAGCAACTGTTCTAGTTGGGATTACTGTTAGTTCTAAATGATGTTTTGATTCTTTTTCTGTAAAAACCTAGTGTTGGAAATGGAATATATCTTTCAAACACAGTAAAAACAAACCCGTATCACACCGGGAGCTATTCGCTATATACCTAGCTAATATTAGCTTTGTAACTCCTAATATAAAAAAATTAAAAAAAACCCCGAATGAACCGAGCACTTGAGTTTAGGGTCAGTAACAGCCTAAAATATACATTTTATGTGGTTAACAACACAGCAGGACAGGACGACCCAGAGAGCGAAGATGAGGTCTATGAGGTGGTGGACCTCACAGAGTACGCCCGGAGGCACCAGTGGTGGAGCCGGGTGTTTGGGAACAACTCCGGGCCGATTGCTGAAAAATATTCCGTGGCCACCCAGATCATGATGGGAGGGGTGACTGGCTGGTAAGGACACTGTGGATCGACTAAAACAGAATCTCTATGCAGTTATTTCCCATCAATTAAATGATTAAGTCTACGATAATATCAGTTTAAATGTTCTGGATTACATACAATGCCTTGCAAAAGTTCTTCTATTGAAAATGCTAATATTTATCCAGATACATAACAAAATCTAAGTATATGTATATATATCAATTTCATGTGACAGACAAACATAAAGTAGGATGCAATCTTAAATTTGAAGAAAAAAAAATAACGTATTTTTCTGTATTTAAAACCAGCTCCAGTTATTCTGTTACATGTCAATAAAATACAGTTTGTACTGAACACTTGGTCTATTACATCAAATCCTAATAAAATCTAGTCAAACTTATCGTCATATGACAAAATATTGAGACTTTCAAAGAAAATGACCGCTTCTGCAATCTATCCAGGTGTGCTGGCTATGTTTTCCAAAGAATCGGGAAGATAGCGGCGACTGCCATTGGTGGAGGATTCCTTCTTTTACAGGTAAAGGCATGGAAGCAGTGAGTTTATGCTGCCCTTCGCTTAAAATAAAAAATGAAAGCGTCTTTTGGAATACTTCATTGAAAAGTGAAGAGACCAGCTGCACAGCATGCTGCTTGACTGCTTAACAGCAGAAAGAGGAGCTTTGTATGTGCTGGCTCTGGGTGGACATGAGCCATCTGGATGCATACACAGAATTGCATTCATATCGGTTCTTTTTTTTTTTTTTCCCGTTTGTTGAAGCAATCTCTGTTATATTTCACATTGAGATAAACATCTGGTTATGATTTATTCCTCCTGCAGATTGCAAACCACAGTGGTTACGTGCAGGTGGACTGGAAAAAGGTGGAGAAGGACGTAAACAAAGCAAAAAAGCACCTGAAGAAGAAGGCAAACAAAGCAGCCCCTGAAATAAACACATTCATTGAGGAGGTAAAGGTACCTGGAACAAAGCTTGCTCTTTTTCAACCCCTTTTTTTTAAATTCAATCTTGCTGATGTTATTTATCCTTTTTGAAGTTTGTTATTAAAATAAGAATTAAATGTGGTGTTGATCTGAAACAAAGCAGTGCCCTCTAGTGTTAGGTTAAAACGGCTACATCAAAATGTTTCCTGATTGAGGAAGTTTTCTTTTTTTTTGCCTCATTCTCCTACAGGCCACAGATTTTATAAAGAGGAACATCGTCCTGTCCAGCGGGTTTGTTGGTGGCTTCTTTTTGGGACTGGCATCCTAAAGCTGCAGCTCACATATTACCCTGCCACCTACTGTGAATCTCATCACTACATTTCCCTCCATAGTTTACCTCTTTGCCCCATGCGTCTCCTGATTTATCACATACTGAAGTGAGAGTAGGGGTTCTGTTAAATATGTAAGCACGATCTGTTGTGTCAGTGGCATTCCTGCTTTATCTAAGTGTTTTCTTTTTAGATACTGAAATGGACCGCTGCGAGTGTCATTGTAAATATTTCAATTCTCATCAGAACTGTACATATTTCATACACTAGGAGTGGCCAAACTCTCAACTAATCCCAAGAAATACCTTTTTTTATGTTGCTGGAATATTAGAAAAGTTACTTTTCTCAAAGAATTGTGCATTTTCGCACCAAACGGCATGATCAAAATGCTTTTTAAAATGACTGGATGGTCATCGGCTGAACTGTAATTATGACCAGACTGTAGATCAAAAACAAAATGAAAGTGTCTGGTTACTCAAAAGCAGCAACTTTGAGTCGTGAGCCTCTTGTTGTAGTGGTTGTGAGTCCCTTAGCGTCTGTGTAGGAATAACAGCATTGTTACATTTACAGCAGTCAAACTCTACTCTTAAGCTGCTTGAATTTTATTTTTGCCTTTTTCGTATAAGTGCAATAAGCTATATCATTATTTGTTCTTGAAGATGTTGCTAAATCTTCAACAGGTGTTTTTTGCTGTTTGTTTTTATTTGACATGATTTTGATAACCCTGTTTGCATTTCATTTGTCTTTTTGGAATAAATATGCTTGAATTTGTTGAAATTCAGTTTTCTTAAAGTTTGCTCTTTGTTTAGGATATTTACATATGCCTCTCATTAGAAAATATTTGATTAGTAGAAAAAAAAACATGCTTACACATTATTTCAAACTTCATTATCACACAACTATTATGATCTATAGAAAATACATTGAAATATCAAATACATGGCTCCTCTTCAGAGAGAGTTCAGTTCTAGTCAGAAGTTGAACTCAGCATAAATGCGTTTCATTTAAGGTTTGTAAGCTATTTTAACATGGTAAAATGATTTGAGTGTTATTTTAGAACATATGGACACACAACAGACGGAGAAACAAATGGGAGGATGGACGGACAAGATGAAGTGATGACAAAAAATGAAAAAACTGATTTAAACCTGAACACAAGAAATAAAGTTTGAAAATGTCGACTTTTTCCTACACTTATTTTTCTAAACAAGTCAAGTCTGTACATTTCACATTCTGTATAAAATGAAACAAAATCATTTTTGCTTTTATTCATATTAAGTCACAAATAAAGTAGAATATTCACTGTATTTACAAAAAGGTGCGAAACTGTGGGAGGTGTTTATCTGAAATACCGTTAAGGTTCAGCATCACTCGTCATAATTGTGAGCAAACTGAATTTCACTGATGGTGTGAGTCCAAAAAAATAAGAATGTCTGGGTTCACTTACATTTGTATTAAAGCAGAAACTAAAAAAAAACAACAAAAAAAAACAACTATAGTCTGTTTTTTTTTTTCGATAGCTGCTCAGTGTCACAGCTAGATGGGCATTTTCAGGAGGGCACATTCGGTGAGCAGGCTGAAGATGCTGATCAGATATCTGCTACTGGAAATCTGAAATAAAAGAAAAAAAGGAAAATATTTGCTTCAAATAGTGTAGCACACATACATTGCAAGTCAGGATGCCTGAAATTCAGCATCACCCCAAATTGGTCAATATAGTGGTGAAAAATAAGTACTGAACATGTCAATGTTTTTTCCTTTCTATAAAATTTTCACGAGGTGTAACAAGTCAGAAAATCCAGAACAAATAAAGGGAACAAATATTCCATTAATTAGCTGAGAAATGGGAGAGAAAGCCAAGAAAACAGTTGAACTCTATAATTTTTTAGAGAGAAAAATCCTGCTTTCAACCACTGCACATATACACACTATGTCAGTACAGTACCTTTATCTTGCCGTTGAGTTTGGCTGATCCCAGTGCAGAGGACACTTGGTTCAGTTCCCCAGCTGAAAGGTCCACCCTGAAGTGTCTGTAAAAGTGGCTCATGAGTCCCTGCATGAACCTCGTCACCTCCGAGAAGTCGATACACACTTCATCCTCTGCCCCCCTACTCTTCTCCGCCGAACTCTCCCTCGTGCTTCTCCACAGTTCCAGCGCGTCGTCAGAGTCGACCGTGTAAGTCACCTGTAGCGGTGGCACGACTGGGAGAGTCCAAATCATTTTCAACTTCTGGATGTTGGTTTCCATGTGGCAGTTGGTCCATAAGGCAGCAAGCCACTGCAGAGTGGTTTGGTTGATGTCCAGAGGGCCAAAGCAGCAGTCAAAGGTCCTCTGTAACCAAGACTTAACCAAAGAGGACAGGCCCTCGGCCCCTTTGCTGCAAAAGAGAGGTAGGCAGGTAAAATCCTTCGGAAGCGACTGAAGGTATTCGGGGTTACCGTTGATGCAGGACAACCACCCACTCCAAACAGTCTTCGGTGGATCTTCCTGCCTTGCAAACATTGGCTTTGACTGTACCTTTAAAAGAAAAAGAGACAAGATGACGAAATGCAACCGAAAACGGCTGGAAAACCTTCCACGTCCAAGTCCTGTCACTACCTGGATGAGGACAGTCTCAGGGTCATCGTTCGTCTCTGCCAGTCCCTGCAGCACGGAGAATGAGACTTTGAAGGTGTTCTGCAGCCCCCCCACCTCCACCGCCAGGCCCTGCTGCTTCTCTGCAGCAATGAACGCAGAGAGCTGCCGGGCATAGGTCTTCAGCTGGGTGTGTCTGAACTGGTAGAGAGGAGTGACGTACGACAGCTGCCACTCCGTTTTCACCAGCAACGCCAGGTGCTCTGGCTTCACTTTTTCCTTTGAAATCAATAAAACATGGTCATTATTCCATGACTTTCAAAACAAACAGAACCATCCAACGAAGTGAAAGCCAGATGCAACTCACAGTAATGTTTTGAGACCTTGGAGCTTTCCTGCAGATGTTCATTCTTCGTGCGGTCAGTGCCGGCGTCAGGCTGAGCCCCGATGCGACGCCGAAGCAGGTGCGGATTGACCGCCGGTAGCTCTGACTTTTGCTCCTCCTCTTTACAACACCACTGTGAGGAGTCCTGAAGAGCAAAAACAGATGCAGGATATTGCATTTTTTTCAGAACACAGACTTTACAGACAGATAAAACATCTTGCTTATTCACACTTTGGGTTGCAAGATGTTCTTTGTGCACACTTGAATTCTTGTAATTACTTTGGAAGTCAACAAGCTTGTGGCTTAATGCTGACAACTGCTCTTGGCAAATTAGGTAGATCATAGATCATAATGCGTGTGGGGGGGGGGGCAGAGCAAGTAAATTTAATTTAATTTAATTAAGACAATTTACCAGTTTTCCACTAAATTTAAGGTCCATTCCAGCCATTCCACCCTAAGACTATGTGTGATTACTTTGCCTCTGAACAATTTGTCATTCCCAACTGATTAAAGGCCTAGTAGTATATTAAAATTCTACATTTTAATAAATGTTTGCATTACTTTGCATTTATCCAAAAGATAATTTTAATGAGTATAACTGCCCTTTAACAGGAAATTTAAGTCTGATATAATGCCACAGCATAAAGATGTGAGTGTCTTTTTTTACAGTGGATGTTATTATATGGTTTAACTATACATTGACCCTATATTATCTCGACTTTTTTAGAATTTGGCAAAGCCACAATAAAAACTTATGCACAAACTGCATTAAATAAACGCGCATGTTGACAGCTATGCCAACAGTGAATAGATGAAAACGTCTGACAACCACTGTCTGTAGAAATCATAGCTCTTCCAGAGTCTTATCGGAAAATTGTGTTATAAACATTTGAGGAAGAAAAGTCGAAGTTAAAATGATTCTGCTATGACATAAAATATTGTTACCCAAAGCAAATGAAAGCGAGAATAAAGTGATGTGAAAACTCAATCTGTTGTCGTACTCTGTTGGACTTAAATGATATTGTCATTGGAGATTAATAAAATACACCCAAAACATTCAAAATAGCACCTTAAGCAAAATAAGTGGTGAGCTATTAAGCTAGCTGAACGCCCCCTGTGGAAGGAGTCCCACAGAGAAAGCTGAAAAAACCGACAGGTTTAATGTCGTTTGCTAAATTAGCACCACCAGTAAAAAGTGCAGAGGTTATTGAAAAACTGTACCTTTCACGAGACCCCTCCATGCTCTATTTACCGACCAAAGCTCAGAGGAAAATAACAAACAGTAACAAAAACCGGAAACTAATCTTCTTTTTCTTCTTCTTTTTGTAAGGCGGTTGGCAAGCAACGCATTGACGTGCACCGGAAACTAATTTTGAACAACGCGCGGTCTTCTTCTTCTACTTCTTCGTCTTCCAGCATTCCACCGGTTCGCATTCAAGTTACCGGCGTTTTACTGCCATCTACTGCTCAGTCGGTACGAGTACGTTCGCAATGCTATTCAAAATCACGACTTCCCCTTTAACTTCTTACATTGTCACATTACAATAAAAGTAGGTAGAATAGAAAATCAGCAAGATGTGCTCATGTAAGGGCAGCACTACTTCAACATATTTTTAAACTAAGTAAAAGTAAAAAGTGAGCTGTCCAAAAAACTAAAACTGAAATAAAAAAAAATTCATGCATATAATGTGACAAAAAGGTGAAAAGGTGAATATTTAGGCATTGAATCTTCACAGCTAGAATTTATTGAAACAGTTGACCAAAAAGATCATCTGCTTCCTGCAAGAAAAACATTAAATGTCGAGGTGCAAGTACTTGTATTCCTTTAAGTTTATTTTAATCTAGGGGCTCTCCATCTTTGCGCCTGTATGTGAATTGAAGTGTGTGCATATTTTATAGCTCCCTTTCACACGAAACCATGTTACCATAGAAACAGGGCTCTTTTCTTTTTCCCCTCCTGTGCCTGTTCCCATTCTTCATCTTCTTTAGACTTTATTTTGATTCTCATCCATCTGTTTTGGCTGCACTTTTTGTTTCTAGTCCCACATGTGCACTGTTCATGTGTTTGTGTATTTCTATGTTTTCTGACTGACTGAGCATTGAATGGAGGGATATTGAGCAGCAGACAGCATGATGACCACATCAACAGCCAATCAAATGGTTTGTACAAGCTGGTGGGTTCAACCAATGGAGGAAGCCTGAGGAGGATGTGTGAGGAGGGTTGCAGCACTATGGAAACTGCAGAACATACTCCAAATACACAGCACCATCTAGTGGCAAGCAATGTCCTTGTTCATTCCCATCTGTGTCTCTCCGAACAATAAAGAGCAAGACAAATAGAGCTGTTTTGATGATCCCCAGTACTTTTAGGAAATATCCTGCGGACTTATGACACAAAAAATGTACGTCATGGAAGGTTTCTTGGAGTTACATTTAGAGTAAAACTATAAGTACTTAAGAAAAGAAACACTACACAGTTAAGTATTTGTATAGACATTTTAGGAACAAGACAGTTGAAAGTGCTTTAAATTATATATAAAAAAAATCATACAATCATCAATTATGAAACAAGCAACAATCATTTCATTTTGTCAAATGCCATAATCAAAATAATCAAACAAGTACACATCAAATATGTTAATCAATGTAGAGCGTGAAAAAAAAATCCAGTTTCTTTCCCCAATAACTAATTGCAGAATGGATCCACCTGCTTGTCCACTGTCTTGTTTTTTGCAAGTAAAGAACCTATAAAAATATCTGACGTAAATTTACAAGAAAAAGTTGTATTTATACTTTCATAAGGGTAAACAAACATTCCCATGAGTCTTATTCACTGCATGCTTTGCAAAAAGGCCCGAAAAACAATCCAGCATCTCGTATCGGGGTGTAAGAATAAGGAATAAATGGAATGCTTTAACCAAGTATTGTGTACAGAAAAAAAATATGTGGAGAATATTCACTGGAGACCCCTAAAGTCCTGTTGGAATTATTGTTTTTTTTTTTTAATTAATTTTAATAAAATTTTTAAATTAATTTTAATACATTTGCAAAACACTCCACAAAATTTATATATATATGCATTTATTATACATATACATTTATTATATATTATAATTCTTATAAAGTGGTATTTGCATGTAGAATTTTGAGAAAAGAGACATGTTGGGGGGAATGAATAACTGATTTTAATCCTTAAGGAAATTTGTGGGTATGTTTTCTCTCTCATTATCATGGCAAATAGAAATAATTTAGGTAATTCTGACTTAAAACAAGAGAAATTTGCTCTCTTTTAACTTCAGCCAGTGAAGGGGAAAAAAAGGTGCATGTCTTTTTATTCAGAGTATGTACACTTCTGGTTTCAACTATATGCATGCTAATGGCAGCAACAAATACTTTTATTTTACTTAATTGTAGACCCCTCCTGCAGAACATGTCAGGTTACATAGAGATATCCGTGACACTGATTGGGCCCACTACGTTTTGAGGCATGTCCCTGATGACCCATGGGAATTCGGGAATCACTGACATTTCTGCTTATACCTCATTTTTGTCCAAGTGCAGACAATATCCGTTTAATTATTCAGCAAGTAGCCATAATGTGTGAAAATCGCTATGATTGACAGAAAATATAATTACGACCGTAACAGGGAGTCTGTTAAAATGATGGTGATAAGAAGGGGAAAGGCTGACGTAAGGTGATGAGATTTTGCTGGTTGACGCCTGCGCGGGATACACTGACTGGAACCATTGGAGAGATTAGCAAGAAACTGTGAATGTAGTGCGCCACAACAGGACGCCATATTGGCTCAACTTAGGCTAAAAAAACGTGTGCGGGCCTTTTTTTTCCTTCGTGGCCATTTTGGCTCTGGAAAGACCACTTGTCTGGTCGACAGAGGGAGGAGTCTGGCATTTCTGGAAGTCGGAAAAAAAACAGCCAGGCAAACCCAGTCAGCATCTTAGGAAGCGTAAAACCCGAGAGCAACGAGTGGGTTTTTTTCACGGTACAATTTTAATATTCTCCAGCACAAGCGGTCTATGCAACAGAGAAGACTGTGGACATGGTCGGGAAGGGCTTCAATTTGGGCTCGGGAAGCTGAAGCACACTGCAGCCCGAGCTCATAGCGTTTTTTCGGTGGGGATAAGCCATCTGTGATACACCAACCGGTGATTCTGTCGACTGCTAGCTCGCGTTAACCTAGCTTGCTAACCCCTTCTCGAGAGTCCCGTTAGCTTGCGGCGAAAGGCAGCATCTTGGGTCGGAGCACGGGACGTGTCTGTGGATGCTGGTGCGGTTGCAATAATCTCCGCCAGTGGGGTACACACCCGAGGCAATGCTAAAAGGGGTGTTTTTCTTCCAACGAGCGAGGAAATCTCCACGCCCTGGGGTCTCGTCTGTGGTTACGGCTTAGCCAGCCCACCAGGAGCGGAGCTCGGGAGAAGGTGGGGCCGAACACTGACAGCCTGGGTCGCCAGCTAAATGCGGCTAACCGGCTAATTCGGTTTATTTTAGAGGCCATTTGTGTTCTCGTTTATTTTTGTTTTTTAGGTGTTTAAGTTAGCAGCTGCGTGTTTTCCCGACACAGCAGTAACCTCACTTGACAAAGAAATTAAGCTGACATTGATTACTTCCAAACCCCGGTGGGTGGGATTTCTTCTGGAGAGCATCCCAGCTTACCTAGATGACCATGGCGGACGACGACGTGCTGTTCGAGGATGTGTACGAGCTTTGCGAGGTGATCGGCAAGTGAGTATTTTCATGTTCAGATAGATTGCAGTCATATTGACATGTTCACCACATCTGTTTGAAACATGCTTATGTCTTGGCGCACAGGTATTCTAGGCGAAAGGTTAATTGGACGGGTAGGGTTGGATTTATACCATCCTCACTGGTTTTAAAGCTACCACACAAGAGTGTATTTTCTTTGCCATTAATTGACACGCTGACGGTGTAAACACTATGAGAAGCAAAAATTCAAAGTTTGTGTAAAGCACACATATAAAAACTTTCTATTTCTGCTCTATGCATATTTGGGTCAATGACATCACAAGAGGCACATACTTTAGAATAGGAAAGAGTGAGCGGGTGCTTCTGCTAAGCCTTGTGTAATTTTTTTTTTTACTATATTCTGCTTGGATCAGCATAAATTATTTACTAATACAGTGGCACTGCATACAGTTTGAGTTACAACTACTTTAGCTTACCCAAGCAACTTTTTTTCTCCATCTTCCCTATTGTGTTGACCATATGTTTATATATATATATATATATATATATATAAGTTTGACTCAAAATCATAGCAACTCTTTCTTTTGTTGCAAAAAATATTAGCTGCAAAAGACTAGTATCTTGATTCGCAAACAATTCCTGCTTGTTTTACAGTTGACAAACGTTGTTCAAAGTGGGTTCGATTGATTTTACAGGAAAGTCTGTCTAGTAGTTTAAAGATGAATGCACACACAAAGGCCAAGGGGTGAATAATGTTCCATGCAGGAAGAGGAGTTTACAAGCCTAAATTGGATCATTAGTCTGATAAGATCTTGACTTGCTGGTTCATCCTCTGCAGTATGTGTTTTTCTATTTTTGCTTGCACCCTGTTGCCATTTATTGCTTTTAATGAGGTACACACACTTTTTTTTTCTTTGTAAGTTTACACATGAAGTACAACTAACAGGTTACCTTTTTCAATTTTCTGAGCCATAAGCAGCCTTTTGTGCATTTCTCCACGCAGTCTTGAATAACCCTGAACAGACAAGCCCTTAAATTAGCAGTTTTCTGTCTGTATGGCGAGTAAAGTAATACGAAACTGTCTCTCCTCTAGTCGCTGCTCACTGCTGGTCAGATGGCTGAAAGAAGCCAGCTATGCTTTCCCTCTCAATTACATGAAATGCAAATTTTGCTGCTTGGAAATATTTCCAGCACCTCTGGAAATAGGCAGAACCCAAGAAGATAGTAATTAGTGGTGACTGATTAATCTTCTATTATTAGCTTGCTATGCTTGATACTTGCTAAATTATTCGGTGCAGTAAGCACTGGAAAAGTAACTCTAAATTTAGTTGATAAAATAACGAATAATTGCAACGCTAAAAAAATTGTAGTCATTTGTTTTAAATGTTTTACATTAAAACAAGACACTCAATCATGTTCTACATTTTTGTTCTAAATTTTGATTAACTTATGTTGAAATTATGTTTTTTTTTGTTTTTTTTTTTTGCTTATCTCATAGTCTGAGCTGCATTCCTCAAGAGCCAGAGTCCTGCAACTTTTACATGTCTCTCTGCTTCAGCACACCTAGCTCCAATATTAACTCATTAGCAGAGCTCTGTAGAGCCTGACTGCCTGCTCGTGAGGCAGTGTAGCCGTTTAATTCAAGCTTGTATGACAAGGGATACATCTAA